TCCTCGGTGCAGGACAGTCATGCTACCCCAGCTTCCTGTGGCACTGGGACTCCTGGCGCTTTCTTTAGCACGTAAGTTCTTGGTATATTTCTTTGAGTCCTGCTAACTTAGTGCTGCCAGGACTTTACTATAACCTCGCAGAGGAAACCCTTGAAAGCAAAGAAGGGTTTGCTTTCTCAGCGTCTCCCAGGGGGCAGAGCCAGCTCTGCCTCCCATCTGTATGGAGTTTTAGTAAAGTTATGTCACTTGGGTCTACCCCAGATTACGGGGCTGGTGCAGTAGGTTGGAGAACCCTTTGGTTAGATGACTATTGCAAGTCCAGTTGACAGCATTGCTTGCCCACTAGCAGCCTCAATAACACTGTCTTTGCTTCCTGCAGACGTACAGACCCAGCCTGTCCTGACCCAGGAGCCCTCTGTGTCTATCGCATCCGGGGAATCAGTCACTCTGAAATGTGTCATGAGTGGGGCCAAGTTCAAAGATTATTGTGTAAACTGGTACCAGTAAAAATCTGGCAGTGCCCCCAGTACCATTCTGGAGTACTGTGTAAAAAGTGGTTTAAAGAGAGGAGAGGGGGTTCCGGAGAGATTCTCGGGCTCCAAAGATCACAGCCTCGACGAAGGGTATTTAAACATTTCACGGGTGCAGCCCGAGGATGAGGCTGATTATTATTGTTCAATTTGGGACAAAACCCACAAGGTGCACAGTGCTATAGTCACATAGAGAACCAGCGTGGGAACCCCTTAGCAGCTTCATAGCACATAGCGTGAAGGACAGTGCTCAGCCCCTCAGCCATGACCAGCAATGGCATCTCTCCTCGTCTCATCTCCCTTCGCCATCCTGTACATTTTACTCTCTCTTTTCTTTCTCCGAATCACTGTTGCAGGCTTGGAAATCCCTCTATTCCCTTCCCCAATGACATCCTCCGCAGGTGTCCCAGCACTGCGATCTCCAGAGCTGCCACCGACCCGCTGCTGTTCGTTTGACGTCAAGAGTGGAATTCGATTCAATCATATCAGCAAATGGAGCTGAGCCTCCTTTCCAGCCAGGACCCATTTCTGCTCTTCACTGACCCCCGGCATTATTGCTCATTTCCACGTGCCCCTCACATGGGCAGGTCCTGTGCACACGTCCTCCACACAACTGCACCAACGCCCCCCGATCCTGACCTATGGCATCTGAAGCTATTTCAGCCTTGGGGTCTCCTGAGGAGATGCTGACTGTGCCAAACGGTGCGGCATAAGTGACCTAGACCAGCATCTCCTTGGCAGTAGTGACGAGTGACCCCCAAAATGCTGGATGATTGAATTTTAAATGTGGTGCTTATCCGAAACTCCAGACCTGTGAAAATCCCTCATTCAGGGCCGGCTTTAGGCCGATTTGCCCGATTCCCCGGAATCGGGCCCTGCGCCTAAGAGGCCCCCCACACTCACCCCGGCAGCGGTCGTCTTCGGGGGCCCCGCTCCCCTGGCCAGAGCGCCGGCCGGAGCGCGGCTGCCCCACGGCCCCGCGACCCCGGCCGGAGCGCAGCTGCCCCATGGCCCCGCGACCCCGGCCGGAGCGCGGCTGCCCCACGGCCCCGCGACCCCGGCCGGACCGCGGCAGCCCCGTGGCCCCGTGACCCCGGCTGGAGCTCCGGCGGAGCACTGCCAGCCCCGCAGCCCTGCGACCCCGTCCGGACCGCTGGCCAAAGCACGGCAAACCCGCGGCCCCCCTCCCCCAGCCAGCAATCCGAAGTGCCGCCCCAGGAATCAGGCCCCACACATGCTAAACCGGCCCTGCCCTCATCCCTCTGTTCTTCCCCACGAATGTCCATCAGAACCTTCTCCCATACTCCAGGGTCTACTCATCCCCAGTTAAGCTTGTTTGGTCTGGCCAAGCCAGGCCCTCTATCAAACCTTCTTCCCCTCTACATCCAGAGCCCTGGCTGGCCGGCCTGCTGTCTGCTGAGGCCTCCGTTTAAAAGATTTGCAAGCCCAGGAATTTCTTTCCAGTTCCTTACCCTGCAAGTGCAGAGAGTGCGTCACTGATACTTGAGATGTGGCCTTTAAATCATTACATGAAGCTACAGGCCAATCCTCTGAATTACCATAGGGAGCATTCCAGTATTGATTGACCTGTCCAATAAGGGCTGAGGGGGATAGAGCTAATTTGCCTAATGATCTCCCATGTCACTCTAAAGTCTGTTGGAGCCTTGGGGCTTTGGCCTTTGACTGCTGCAGAATGTCCCTGCGGTGTCTCTCTCTGGGCCTCTCCTGGTGGTGCCAGTACCATGTAGGATGCAGGATTTCCCCTCTGGGGCATGATGTGGCTGGGAATGTGTCTTATCATGTGTGATGTTGGCAGCCCCTTTTCTCCTCCGGTTCCAGATCCCGCAGACACTCTCCATGTCACTGTCTCCAGCACAGCCTGAGGGATTCAGCGGAGGCCTGGGCGTGCCCCTAGGTGTATTTATGTGCTGCTATTATTACAGCAGCAGCCATAGCAGAGAGGCCAGGTTCCTAGACCGATCCTCTGGTTCTACACACACTTGCAGAAGGGCTGCTCCAGCGCTGGGGTCCAGGCAGAAGGCCGGGCGGGTTGTTCCTGTGCTCCACGGCCGAGCAGCAGTAGCTCTTGTCACGGTGATTTAGTCTCAGGAACAGCCCCGGGTCCGTCTGTGGTTAGTGTCTGTGATTAGACAGCAGCTGGGGAAAGGCTCCTGCACTTTGACACCTAGCGCAGGGACCGGCTCTGGATGGATCTCCAGTCTCTGAAGGAAAGCGGCTTGCTCTGCCCAGAAAGGAGCCTGGTCTTAGATTCTCCTCCCGTAGCACTTTCCATCTGAGCATTTCTCAAATATGGATGAGTTCAGCCTCCCAGCTCTTGTGGGGGAGGTGGGTTTTATTATCCCTGCTTTATAAGTGGGGGAACGGAGCCCCAGAGAGAGGACGTGAGCTACCTAGGGGCACACGGGAGGTCTGTGGGCAGAGCTGGAATAGAACCCGGCTCCATGTCTCATGCGCACGTTACCTGCAGGGGGGAGGGGGACAGACAAGAGGAGGAGGCTGGATTCAGCAGCAAATGCCAGAGCCCAAAATACAGCCGGGGTGTCAGCCCTGAATCCGTTCTTCCCTGCGGTGACTGAAGCTTCATCCTCAGAGTGTGGGCCTTGTGGCTGAATAGCGCAGAGAGCAGCCGATAGTCACCTGATCAGCTGCTGGAGTCCCTGAGCCCCAGGGCTCATTTGCATAGACCACCTGGCTTGCCGGGCCCCCCAGCGCTCTAAAGCTGCTGCAGGTTTGCACAGAGCCAGGGGCCCGGCTGCACAGCAGCTGCCGATTCCTTTCCCTCTGGCTCCCTCCAAGGCCTTCGCCATGGTGCTGCGCCTCCTGGCTCTCCTCCTCCCAGGGGTTTTGGTGCCAGGTACGTTCCCGTGGGAGGCGGAGGCGATCAGGGAGTTCTGCAGAGGGAGGGACCGAAGGGCGAGGCTCCTGTGCTGAGCTATCGCTGCGCTGCAGACAGGGCCGGGCGGAGCAGGCAGGCGTGGTCAGGCGGGCTGCCGGAGGTGTGGCACGCGAGAGGTTAACCTGTAGCTGGTGCGGAGGCGATGCCGGAGGGGATAATGTCACAGTTCAGCCACTGGGGGTGGGATCGGCACATTCCGTCCGTAACTGCGCCCTTGTTTCGTTCAGCTTCCAGGGCGCAGCCGGTGCTGACTCAGCCGGCCTCCATTTTAGTGTTGCCGGGACAAACGGTGAAACTCTCGTGTGCCCTGAATCCTGGGTACAACATCCGGGAGTTCGGGGTCGCCTGGTACCAGCAGAGACCTGGCAGCCCTCCGAGGTACCTGCTCTATTACAACTCGGAGGTGGACAAGGACAAGCCCTCTGGAATTCCGGACCGCTTCTCCGCGTCCAAAGACCCCGCCAGCAACGCCTGCGTTCTGACCATCGCCGCGGTCCAGGCTGAGGACCACGCTGACTATTACTGCTCCATCACATATCCCATCTACTATCTCTAGAAATGTGGAACCAAAACCTGTGCTGGCCCCCGGGGGACTCTGATGAGCCCCTGCTTGCAGAGCCTCGTGCTGAGGGAACCGCAGCCCTATAAGGAACGGAAAAAAGAAACGGCTCATGTTCTCCACCCTTGAATTAGCCTAGAGGTGAGGCCCCCCGGTCAGTTATGCTCAGAGAGCTGTGACGGATGGTGGCTTCCTGTTTGACGCATGTCACCTGGTGGAGTGCAGAATGCTATGAGACACGCAGGGCCAGATCCTGCCAGGTGCTGGGAACCTGCAGCTCCCACTGCACAGAGACCCTACCTAACGGAGCTGGTCTTTCCTTCCTGCAGGCCCCTGTCCATCTGCTCAGATCCCCGTCAGCTGCATGTGGGGCACCCAGTACAGCTTGACACAAAAGCCAGATTTCTAAAGCACTAGTTCTGATGTTCAGGAGTATGTTATCTGCCTTTCCCACATACAGCGGGCCGGGTTCTCACTTACTCTGCTTCTGGGGCTTGGGACAGGAACAAAGGATGCTGCTGGTGGTGGAGAGAGACAGTCCCTTTAAGCTACCTGTGCACTTCCTGTATTCGGGGCCCATTCAGGGCCCTGCCCAGTGCCCGGCGTAAGTTAGAGCAGTCTCGGGGCTTCTCTGATTTATACTCAGCATAAGTGTTTACCAGCTGCTGCTGCCTTCTTTCTCAGTTCTGAGCTTCTGAGGAAGTGTTTTTTGTTTAAATGGGAAGACAAATAGATTCCCGGTCTCTCATCCCAGCTCTCTTCAAGGCCATTAGCCCATGGGGCTGAGAGAGAGAACTTGGTGGGAGCTTTTCCCTAAGATGGTGGCAGCACATCACTGCCCACGGCCGCACTCACCATGAAACCGTGGCCATCAGCCAGCAGCATGCACATGATGCGGGGGGTAGAACCACCAGTCCTTAGCTCAGACTCACAGGATCCGGAGGGAAGAACGAAGAGCTCCGTGAGTTGAGTTCAGCCATTGCCAAGACAGCAGCTGAGAAATTCAGACAGATTGTTAGCGTGGCTGGGCAGGGGGAGCGAGTGCCCTGCACACTCTGGTGCTGGGTAAATAATAAACATTAATGATAACATTCCATCACAGTCGGCCTGGCCCGGCAGCTCTCAGCGGACCTGCCTGCCAATCTTTGGGAACAGCCGCTCTCTCTGGTGTGTACCAGGGAATGGGTGATTAGCTAACTCTGAGCACCACCACAATTGCTGAATCTCAGCAAATACATTCCATTCAATGTATTCCCAAGTCCAAACCAGAGAAAAACAGCCCCCCAAGAGGCTCCTTTTATTGGACCAACGAAACCCAGAATTAACGGCAATGGGGCTGCTCAGGAGAGGAAAGTTTTCCTGTGTTTAAATGAGTGCAGGTTTGGAGCCAAAATGAGCCTGTTTTGAGAATCCCAGGGCCCGATTTTCAGATCTCTGCTTGTGCTTTTGGGGCCTTACTTTGCTGTAATACATTCTTTGCTCTAGCATTGTACACTGGAGGGGTGTGGTGTATGGGACACCCACAGGGGGTGACTCAGCTGTCAGTGTTCTCTAGCTAACTGCGTCCTGCCCTTAGGGCATATCCAGCAACGTTCTGATAATGTGACGCTTCTCCCTTGTGTGTCACTTGCTATGCAGAACACCCAGCGTGATGGGGGTTGGATCCTGGTTGAGGCTTTTGTGAGATTCTGCAATACATACAATAAATGCGAATAATTAGCTGCATGTCTTGTATCCTGTGCAGCGTGGAGTTCATTGGGACACTTGGAACATTCTCTCTTTAACCTCTCCCCATTGTTATTTTTTCTAAACTGCAGTTGGATGCGTCGCTACCATCGGTCCAGACACAACACAGAGTTAGAGCTCTTTTACTGACGCTGCTGGTCTGAATCTCAGACTGCCTGGTTCCTGTGACGCTCCCCAGGGGCACCCGGGGTTGTGAGGCACCTCACCACGACCTGCCCTTAGCGTGAAGCCGTCGTGTCTGTGCCGGCTGTAGCTCAGCTGCCTGAAACCAACAGCCTCTGGCAACACAGCCCTGCCTCCCAGGCCCCCACAGGCCGTGCTGGCTCTGTGCAGGCAGTGCTAGGCGCACACCAACCCCCAGATCCGTGGAGCGCTCCTGGCAGTGTCCAGCCCGTCACTGGACAATCCCAGACCTTACCAGGCTTGCTGTCCCCAAGGGGCAGTGGACACACTCGTTTCTTTGAGTCAACGGAGGATCAACTCCGTTATCACCTCGCAGCACTGAGATAGCTGCGTAGTGACAACTATCGCACGTCTCTTATCAAAGGCTCAGATTTATGGGTTAGTGGGTAAGGATACTAATGGAAACAGAAATGGTTACAGACAAAACAAAAGGTGTAACACAGTTTCTAGGTCTAAATTTAACTATAACAGGCTAAATTCTTGTCTGAAGTAGTGTCTCAACGGAACATAAGAGCCCAGAGTGATGCTGTGGCCAAAAAAGCTAATGCAATCCTGGGATGCAAAAACAGGGAAATCTTGCATTGGAGTAGAGCGGTTATTTCACCTCTGTATCTGGCACTGCTGGAATCCTGTGTCCAGCCCTGGTGCCCACAATTCAAGAAGGCTGTTGATAAATTGGAGAGGGTTAAGCAATGAGAATGATTAACGGATTAGAACACCTGCCTCATAGCGATAGACTCAAGCAGCTCAATCGATTTAGCTTACCAAAACGAGACAGTTAAGGGGTGACTTGATTTCAGTCTATAAGTACGTACATAGGGAACAAATATATAATAATGGGCTCTTCAGTCTAGCAAAAGTACAAGATCCATTGGCTGGAAGCTGAAGCTAGACAAATTCAGATTGGAAAAAAGGTGTAAATTTTTAAGGTGAGTGTAATTAACCACTGGAACAATTTACCCAGCATCATGGTGGAGTCTCCATCAGGGATGTTTTACTAAAAGCTCTGCTCTAGGAATTATTGTGGGAAATTCTATGGCCTGAGTTCTACAGGAGACCAGACTAATGGTCACAATGGTCCCTTCTGGCCTTAGAATCTATGAACCTTCTCTACAAACGCGCCTTCTCTTGTCTACCCCTGTCATTGTCATTTGCTCTCACTTACATTCAGAAGGGCCAGAAAGGATCATCAGATCATCTAGCCTTACTTCCTGTACATCACAGGCCACTAATCCCCACCCAGCACCTGCACACGGAATCCAACAACCAAAACACGGAACCCAACAACCTCGGGAGACTAGACTGGTCTGTGCCGCAGGCAGAGAACAGGAGGGACGGTGGTGCACCAGTAGCAGGGCATTGGTTAAGTGAGATGTACCCAGATACTTATCCTGCCGAGTGCCTCACACCCACACGCTCAGGGGGAGGCTTGAGCCGTTCCCAGGGACACATCCAGAGCAAAAGGCCATCGGGATTGTTGCAGAATTGCTCATGAAGGGGGTGGAACTCTTTACTCTGGCCACTTCTGGAGCCAGGAAACTGTGGCTGGAGCGTTGGTTTGACCCGGGGCGGCAGGTCTGAGAACTGAGGGCGTCTGGATCATGAAAAGAGCACGATGTCTGACCTCCACCCCTGAGTCTCATTTGCATACTGGGCTGCATCAGCTTGACCCCCCCCAGAGCTCATTTACATACTGGGCTGCACCAGCTTGACCCTGGAGGGCTCATTTGCATATGTGGCTGCCCTACCCCTGCCCATAAGGGCTCTAAAGGCTGCCACAGGGTTTCACAAAGGCAGGGAACAGGCTGCAAACCAGCAGAAACCCAGCTCCTGTGACCTCTCCCCATCTCCCTGCACCATGGCCCAGCCCACGCTGCCTCTCTGTCTCCTGGGGCTTTTCCTGACAGGTAACGGCTACAGCAGATTGACGTCTGACCACGCCTGGAACCGAGGTCAGCCGAAAACGTGGCAGTAATAGCGGTGCTCACCCCCCTGCTCTTTGCTTTCTGCAGGTTGCTACGCTCAGGTGACTCAGCCGCCCTCCGAGTTCGTGTCTCCCGGGGGGAATGTCCAGCTCCCCTGCACGCTAGAGGGCAGTTACACCGTCAGTGCCAACCGTGTCGTTTGGATACAGCAGAGGCCGGGCAGCGTCCCCAGATACCTGCTGTATTTTTTCACTGAATCTAACAAAGGCATGGGCTCGGGGGTCCCCAGCCGGTTCGCTGGCTCTCGCTCTGGCTCCGACAAGATTGGCTATTTAACCATCACTGGGGCCCAGGCAGAGGATGATGCCGTCTATTACTGTGTTACGTGGACTGGGAGTGCTTGCACAGTGCTACCGTCCTATGGGGAAGTGAGACAAAAACCTTCTCACTCCACTGCAGCCCTGTGGCAAGGCTGTGCCTGCTCTGAGCACCAGCCTGCTTCTTACACAGGGG